CGGCGGCAGGCCGTGGGAGGCAAGATTGGGCGGTGGAGTTTGGGGAGCTCGTCAAAGAAGAGGAAGAATGGACAGCACCTCAGGCCAGTCTCAAAAAGTGTCTCAAACTTAAATACAAAAAGGAGGCAGGGGAAAAAATATACATATATACATACATACATACATACAACAAAAGGGAGGCAGGGCACCTCTGCTTGTCATTCATATTAGGTTGAACTGTATGAAATTGCAGATAATGTTTTAATCTACAGAGCCATCAATCTTAAATAGTTCAACCTAATATATCACTTGCATGCTGTAGCGGATGCTGAGCCGAGGGCCATCTACCCAGAAGATCTGACTTTGACCCCATATTGGTCATTCGTGAATCTGTGACCTTTGTGAGCCTCAATTTTCTCATCTGTCAACTAGCAATCATAGCACCAGCCTGGAGTCAGGAAGCAAATGAAAAATCCTAGCTCACAGAAGGCATTCAGGAATGAGTGCATCCAAATCTGACCAATTCGCTTGAGTGATTCCCGGCCCCTGGAACGTGGCTCGGATGACAAAGCGGTGCTCTGGCAGCAGGGGGCGTCCGGAACTTTGCCTCGCCGCCCGGGCTGCGCTCTCGCTACACGCCTCAAAGTGCCGCCCGTGTCCCCGCCCTTTGTCCCAGCTCTTCCTGAACTTTGAGGTGGACCAGCAAGGACTGGTCTCGCCCAGTGATTTTCCCGCCTTGCCTCTGAAGAGTGAAAAGAAAACTTGGAGAGGGATGTTTTCAGAAACGAAATTGAAGACCCATTTTTCCTCCCCAAAAGAAACTGGAAATGGGTTTATTTGGGGACTAAACAGAGCAGGATGGGGGATGCCTTCTGGACTTCTGTAGGTACAACTGCCCCGCAGCCCCTACGAGGGAAAGAAAACCAGGAAATGGATTCCCACGGGGCCCAGCGTAACTTCCCTCTGGAAAATTGGAATATCCGATGTTGGATTTATTCTACAACTAGTAGATCGCAGAAGCTCATAAGATCTGTCAGTATTCTGAGATACATTAGAAGCACCCAGGGCTCAGTTATCGCCCTGTGTAGACCCAGACACTGTGCCCCAGGGAGGGGGAGTGATTTGTCCAGGGTCACTACAGTTCCTAGCAAGGTTCGGCGCCTCTTTCCTGAGACCCAGCAAAGAAAGCACATCGAAAAGAAGACCCTCGCAAGACCCAGCACTGAAAATGCCCCCTAGGCGGTGACCCTCCTGCCTCAGCCCTTGAAGAGGCACCCGGCGCCAGAGGCCTTGCTCACCCTGCCACTGGCCCAGGCGACAGCAAGCAACGCCAGGAGTGCGGAGAGCACGATCACCAGGAGCAGTAGCAGCAGTGGGTACTGCTGGCTCAAACTGTAGTAGGTCTCATAGAAGAGGTCTTCGCTGGGCGGTGGCCGGGGACTGAAGAGGCGGGGCATGGTCTGCCCCTCGCTGCACTGCCGGGGGTGGGGATAGGGGTGGAT